AATCATTCTATGTCAAACATCCAGTACAGGCTCAATATAAAGCACCATGAGGAGTTCTCAGTTTCAGTTCTGTTGTGATCTTTTTTCATTCAAAGAATATTTTCCTTCTGAATTAATATCTCACTTGTTCTCACAGGAGATAAAATTGAATACATAAATAATATGTACTATCAAAGCTATCAAGAGCTTATATAATCTGCTCACAATTTACAATGGTGCCAACAATCTAACAGCTAATGAGCCTCTAAATACCACAACTTGCCAGACTTTGTTACATTACATGGTCTGGTTGTTTTTCATTAGACCAGTTCTTAGAATGTTACTGCGATTTATGATGTGGAACATTTAGAGCAAAGGCACACTCTGGTAGACAGTGAAACACTATAAGCAAAGAAAACATTTATCATATGATAAAAAAAAACTAAATCTTGGGGAAAGGAACAGATACATGATATTATTTATTTCTAATGTAGATGATGGGATTATTCAACAACGTTTTAGTTTCTTGCTTATTCAAAATGAGGCTGGTTGGTTCAGAGAATATTTAATGGCACTGTATTAACAGTAATGGTTATTTATCATGTATGACATCATAATGTGATTATGTACAATGAACTGTAAAGGACTGGGGAAGAAGTGGTCATAGTTTAATTCAAAGAACTATGCTAATATATACTTGGGAAGGAGAATGAATCCATGATGTACTAGCACTTATTTGGTAATGACAGGATTGTGATGAGAAAGGTGGGCTCAGAAAAGCAAGGGGGCTGGTGTTTCTGGTACTCATCACTTACCCAAAGATTAATCTTTGGTAGAGATACTGGTTTCAATCCATAAGCAGAAGAATCTGCACACAGAATTTACCAGGAATCAAAATCAAAACTCTCTGAATTAAAGTCAGATGCTGTACACTAAGACAACCAGTTCCCCAGATTTTTTAAATGGTGTCAATATTTGCACAGAAAAATCCGCACGAAAATTTGATCAAGGATTAAAGATAAGAGCTTGGCATCATACTCTCAGGGTTGAGAACTTAAAGAGAATGTGTTTTTACACTAATTTAACATGTCTTTAAGATCTAAGTTTCCGATAAGCATGAATTATGGAAAGGCTAGAAGCAGAAACTTTTTAGTGCAGTTTATTCTTCTGCAGCAAGAATGTCACAAATTTATTTAAAGAGAAAGCAAATTATGCTGTCTACTAGTTAACACTCCTTCATATCTGGGAGGTACTGCATTACCCCAGAGACTGGCTATCTTGACTGAGGTTTTCATGATTTTCCTCAGCTATTTCAGGCAAATGAAAAAATAGTACTTTAAATTAGAGCACTGCTGCTTCATTCCACATTCAGAGAATTTAAAAGTGCCATTAAATAAACCACCAATATCAATGGTGTTTGTGGTGGTGGTGGTGACGATGATGCTGATATCAACAACAATAGCAATAATAAATTACACACAAAAATACACTTTTGTGTATCAATGTATGAATAATTTGTGTAAACACTGAACTTTCAACAGCAGATTAACTGATGCATACACTCTGTTCCAATACTGGACTGAACTTCACAGCTGCTGCTAAATTGTATAAAATAACTGAGAGCTAGACACCTTTCATGTGTTATAGCTGGGTAACTTTACTGCTAACAGTGTGATGTTTTCACCTCACATATGTGCAACGTTTTATATTCATTGTTGTTTAAAAAAAGTATATCACACAAAGAATGGAGGAAACTGGCTTTATTTTAATAAGAGGTTGTTGAAAGTACCAAGATACAAAGATCTTCATATCAGTATATCTGTATCAAGCTTCAGGAAACACAGCAATTAGTGTAACATCTTCAGTTGAATTAGGGAGTGGATATACAGGCAAGTGGACAAAGGAAAGTTTACAGCACATTAATCGGTTTCTGAAGAAGGAACGTTTCCTTCTGAGCCCTAAACATAGACAGAGAAATAAAATCAGTTATACCTAGGACTGTGCTGGTCTGGGGTCATAATGACTGCAGATGAATTTTTATTTGAACAGTAAGAAAGAGCAGAGAGTGGAATGATTCACTAACTACTCGTAGATTCTGTTACATGTGTTTTACATTTTGTTAGTGTTCATATAGACTTTTAATATAGACGTTGTTCTCAGCATTTCCTTTGAAGCGCTGGTCACCTTCCAATGATGGCCGTCATTGGCAGCAACATGTACAGGTTCTATTTTATTGTAAAATAACATTGTTGCAATTGACAGAATTCAATCTCAATTTTACTTATATGTTCATACAGATGTTTGTACTGAACCCAAGTGAGTGAGTACATTATATTTTGCACCAAGTCAGTTTTTCAAGAATTACATTTACTACTATCAAAATAATGAGAATATAATTTGTTTCCCCCAGACAGTTTGTTGGTCACAACTTCTTTCAGTTTCTGTTTTCTCTTATTAAACGTTCATATTAATACAATGAGTGTGCACATATTATAGTTTTATTCTTCATAGGATAGACTTGCAAAATCTATGACAAATGCTGAAAAATTGGATTATTTAAAAACACAAAGAAAATAGAACAGAAATGTGGAGGAATTAGAATCAAAACTAAACAAGATTAAAAAGCCAGTAGTGAATGTAACACTGATACGTGGGGCCAAAGCAATACAAAAGCATGAAGTGTAACAAGACGATGCTAGTGTAAATGACACCACAGTAGAGTAACTCATTGTCCTGGTGTACAGCCACATATTAAGAATGCTGTCATATGTGGATGCAGTCTTTGTTTTTTGTTTTTTTGTTCAGAAAAGAGTTTACAATTTGTTGTGTTCATAAAATATAGAAATTAACTGAAAGGACACATCAAAATTCTAAGAGCTCTATCAGGATATGAAATGCGTTCATGTCTACCCCTTTCGTAACAATCGCCGCTTATACGCGGCGCGGCTGGTTTTTTAAATGTCGCCGATTGCCGCATAAACGCATATGCGGCATCACACGCCCTCTAATTCTGACTTCGATTGAAGACTGTGTGTGTTTTCTATCGAAAATTGAATTACTTAGCATTGTACATGAAATGTAGCTGTAACTTTTGACATAAATACATGTATGGTCTTTGAAGCCTATGTTTGCTAAAATGTCTATACAACCTGTCCAGAGGAAATATATTCAGGCTGTGTTTAGTGTTGTGATTATTGTGTTCCTACACACATACGTACTTCGATTAGCTTGGTGAAAACTGATACGGCACTTAGATAAGCACACAGCCTTGACTGCAGAATGAATGGGGCTTTGTTCTGAGCTAGTAAACAAATAAGAGCTTGTGCATATGCCAGTCCATAACAGTTTGGCAGTACGGAGAGGTAGGTGCGAAGTGGTTGGGCAGAACAAAATGTCATACCGAGGTTACATGAAAGACATTTCAGTCAAAGGGTTACTCTTTCTGGGAAGAAATCAACGCCATGGAGGTGTGTGGTATGCAGCAAACTTGGACGCATGAGCGACTCGGGGTTTCACTGTCAAGAATGTGATGTCAGGCTTTGTGTGGACGGATGTTTTGAAGCCTATCGCACACAATTTCTAAGGTAATTCTGCATGATTAATTAAAAGTAGAGTATTTAATAGAAAAGTTATGTTTTATACAGAGCACAGTGTTCGTTTCCAGTTTTAAATTCTGTATTTCTAAATTTTTACGCCGTTTTTAAAAAAATAATTGTGATCTTCAGATGAAAACATTGAAATATCGCCATGCTGTTTATAAAATCTAAAACTACTTTCTTTTCTGAATATAACGATAATTTTTCGCTTTGAAATTCCGATTTACTTTGCTTTTACAGCGAATTTATAAAAGTTGTGCATTTCTGGTAAGAAAATTTAAATATCCTCCATCCACCAGTAAGGTTTACTTTAAACGCCATTCATCGCCCAAGGGCTAGTGTACTAAGGGCTGCACATCTAAACTTCAAAGATTTATGGACAGAAGATGAAACAGAGAAAAAATTTCCTCATCACAACACAGAATACACATTTTCCTGTTAAGCTTGTTATTATTTGACATGTTTAATCCAGAGACACAGAAAAGCAAACTAACAAGCTTCCACGTAAATTTTTTGTGGTTTATTTAATAATGCTGTCAATGTCTAGGCTATATAGTGCTGAATGGTGGGATGACAGAGGAATGGTGAATTGGGAAGGAATTTGAATGAAGTGGATACAGCTTAATCAAGATGCTATTTCTAGTATTTGCCTGAAAGGACTGAGGAGAACCACAAAAGTCGTCATTCAGGTTATTTAATGCCCTGTCAATATACAATCATAGCTCCCCCCACATATGAGCATATACTGCTATGCCTAGTCGTCAGTTTTCACCTGTTAAAGAACTCATAGATTTTTATTGAGGAATCTTAAAAAAAAGCTTTCCCATCAGAAGAATATGTGTCTTCCAATGATCAATTTGCCTTACTCAAAGGTCATCCCCCTTTTCACCAATATTTACCAGATAAGCTAAATACTTATGGGATCAAGGTATTTGCAATGGCCCATTGAAGACACTTTATACAGTTACCTTCAGAATCGATGCCGGAAGACAACAAAATGGACCATGGCCATACATTACTGGAAACAAACCTAAAGCATGTTAAATGACTGCAATAAACAGAACAAATCAAAATGTAACAATTGCCTGTTCATAAAAATACATTTTTTGTTAAGTTATTCTTGTGAAGCACAAGTTTATCTTCATTGGAAGTGGGAGAGAAACAAAATTAATTCCTACTAGGATGTGAATCTTAGGAAAAGGTCTGCTTACAGAACCTTGTTCAATTTTACTAATCATATTACCCTCTATTTTCTATGTTCTATCAAAATTGCCATGATGTTATCTATCATGCATTATGATGCTGAAACAGGATATTCAGAGGATATTCTCAAACTGTAATAGTAGTACTCTCAGGGATAACAAGCAGTTTTTAGAGCATGATTTTTTGATTAAAATCTGTTATGTATGTTCATACTTGTATTTCAAATTGACTCAGAAATGTTTGTACACATGATAGATGTGACCTTTATCTATGTTCTTTCACTCCATGAATACTTTTACCGTTAAGGCCATGTATGTATAGGAAAAATGTTACAGATAGAACACAACAAGACGTCAGGTTTTGGAAAGCCTAGCTTCAGGCTTTATAAAAAATCATCATATTTCCTGTTCTCAATGTGTGCACCTTCAAAGAGAATTGAGATAAAGGTTTGATGCTTATATTGGAGAATAAGAAGAAAATACCATATCTTGTAAGTTAGGACATATCAGAGGAGAGTGAAAAATATATTCAACAAAGAAGGTCACAGACAATCAAGAATATGTCCAACTGCAAGAACTCTGTGTGTAAATTATGCATGAAGGTAAAGGTGATGACAATGAGTAAGAGTGATGAAAATTAGTCTTGACTGATAACAATCTTCAATATATTTTAAGTGTGCTCATATTGTGTATGCAAAATATATATGAGTGTTCACTGATCTATACATATTAGCATTAATTTATTGCTTATTGTAACACTATAAATGTAATTCATGTATACTTTCATTGCCGCAAATTTCCAGTACACTGTTTAGTTCAACAAAATATTTTCTGGCCCTAACCCCATGTGTGAAAGCACATTATTGATATCATCCTAAAAGTTAAATTTTCAAATAAAAGGTTTCAGCGAGTGACAGAAAACCCACCTAGTCTTTACATTCTACATTGCTGCCTTAGAATTTATTCAGGATACTGCAATAGTCAACACTTCCAGTAATGAATGTGAATAGTCTAAACTGCTAAATGGATTCTACAATTAATTAAATTATATTATAGCCTTTTCCAGCCATTTTTACATATAAATTAATGTAGGAAACTTGAAGATGGAGAGAGAGTTTAAATAACTTCGCATTGAATGTACTACAATCAGAAGAATGGACTCACATAGCAGTGGATGAAACCAATGGAGGGCAGGTCACTTGTTGAGAAACACAGAAGTTTGGTTCCTGTGACATACACAGATCTCTCAAGTCACATCCATTTAGCTTAACAAATACAAAGAATTAAACATTAAGAATTAACCTGTTATACAAAGAAAACTAATCTCCCTTTGGTAACAACAGTGATCCATCATCAGAATTATTCCTGTCCTTTCTCTGAGCATGGCCAACTTACATCCATTTCGCTGTGTGAAGTACCCCCCTACAAATACTCAACAATGTCACATTTTATGGAGATGTTTGGGCATGATGCAATGGATGCCCCATATCCTGTGCGGCTCTTATGACGTTCGCTGAGCAGTTTTTGGAATATGGGTAGAATTGCAAGGTCTAATAATTCCCCTTCAGATACAGCTGAGCACATTGCTGGTACATTCGTGACAGATGCCTGATGGTGATGGCGCATGGCATTGCTGGTGCGCTGCGATGAGGCAACATTTGGTGTGCTCTGAACATGTGAATGGAGCAGTGTTTTCTGCTGCTTGAGCTGTGGGATGTGATGTGGAAGTTTCCTGCTATCAGGTTGGTATGAGGTTACCGGTGGTGGTGGCTGTGCTGAGTGCTGATATGGTGGCCGATGGTGATGATGGTAATGAGGCAGTGCAGAACGTTCCCGGCTCTTCTCTGACACTGAACGTTGAATTATCATCATGTCAGGTCCTGATGAAGAAATGAGTGATAATTGTTTGAAACAGAAAGGAAAAGTTCATTAGACTGAAGAGCGCTGCTTTCTGGGATATGATGCCATGTAACCACTTCCCCAGAAGACAGCAAGCCTCACTATCACTACTGTGAGAACTTTAAACTTCAAAATTTATGAAATAAGTTACATAACCTTTCAATAGCAACTGGAAATTATTGACGTTTTCTCAAAAAATATTATACTGAACCCTTAGTTAAAAAGAAAATAATGCACTTGATAATCTTGCCAGAATGTTTTTTTACGTGGAAAGTTGTAAGGTCCGCCTGAGAGTTGGACTTTCTCAGAATCAGTATTTGATATTCCCTGGTCTTATGTTGCAACTGACGAGGGAACAGATAGCTGATTACTCGTACATTTGTTACAGTGTTAGAACACTGAAAATAAATAACTCCTATGCGGTCTAACCATCGATCACAAAATACTTGAGAGATAGTGTGAATATATTTGACCAGGACAGAATTTTTTATCTAGTGCAACAGGAGACAGGTAGCTGAAAGCACAGTCCTATTTAGACTGTGATCTTCTGGGCTGTCATATCATACACCTCCACAAATTAATATCAAGCGTTTACATGCATGCACCCCCCCCCAATATATATATATATATGTATAGGGTGTAAATAAATATATGTTACAATGCTCTGTGGTAGATAAATGGGTTTAATCTCATTATATAGTATTAATACACCCATGTTTGCAAACGCATCCTTTTGGCTTTAAGGGTCACAATTTTTTTTAGAGGATGCATAAGTTTTAGGGGATGTTATCATTGTCTTACATTATAAAAGTTGCTCAAAATGAAGGCTGCTGACTTCATTGCATGTTCTGCATCACGTGGCTATGTTATGCTCAACTCTTTAAAAGATTTCTGGCATTTCCCAGATGGTTCCAGCTGCTACTGCAATTCTTGCCACAAGATCATATTGTGTGTCCACTGGAGTCTCATACACCAGGCTTTGCATGTACCCCAGAGAAAGAAATCCAGTGGTGGGGGCCAGGCTATTGGGCCTCCACGTCCAATCCATCTGTTGCCAAAGGTTTCATCCAAATATTCACAGATGAAATTAGTACATGTGTGCCGGGGTGCCATCATGCTGGAAACATATTTCATGATAGACTTCCAAAGGCACCACTTCCAGCAGCTCGGGTCAAGTCTCTTGGAGAAATTTTAGGTAAATTTCACCAATAAGCCACAGAGGTAAGAGGTAAGGGAGTCCTTCACATTTTGGAGGCCCCAACATGTAAACAAAAAATTTTCAGACATGGGTGTATTAAAAAAATATGATCAGATTGAACCCATCTATCTACCATCTGTATATATTACCATTAGACCATTATGGTGTCTGTATTGAAAGTGCCCTGTATTAAAGGAAAATTATAAACAAAACAAGATTTCAGTTTCTACATGCAGGATATCTATCTTACTTCTTCAACAGCACAGACACTAATCATGCAAGACAATTGTAATACCTCCTTTCATATCAAATAAAGAAGAAGCATTTTTGTGAACATGAATAAAAATTATGCTACCACTAAATGGTATCGTAGTTGGTATAATGACTGGCTACAGGCTGGATGACTGAGGGGTCAGAGTTCAAGTCCTGGTAGGGTCAAGAATTTCCTCTTCTTTAAGTCTTCCAGACTGACTCTGTGGTCCACCCAACCTCCTATCCAATGGATACCTGGGGCTTCTTCCTTGGGGGTAAAGCGGCTGCGGCATGAAACTGACCACTCACTTTCAACCTAGTGCCGAGGTTAAGAAAATGTGGATCTATACATCCACTCCCCTGTATGTCTTCATGGCATAGTGCTTAATTACTTAAGCACAGGGACAACTTTACCTTTTGCCGATAAATTGCAGATAAATAATTTAAACTGTAAAAGTGAAAATTTGAAAAAGAAACTGAAAAAGGAAGTATACAAATTGGACTGGTGTATGTTAGGTACATTCAATAACGGAATAATACAGTTTAAATGAGACATGTAAATTAATTAAAAAAATGTTACCATATGTGATAGCAGAACTTGATAGGAGAACATATGAGAAAGACAGGCGTCCATGCTTGGAGAAGGAGAATGCAAAATATACCTAACCAACTTCACTGAGCTGAGCCCTTCTTGTGAAGCCGCCAGTTGTGCAGCTACTCAACAACTTCACAACATTTTGTGGAATCTGAAGGTTTATTACCATGTTCACAAGAGCCCTCCATCAGTCCCTATCCTTAGCCACATTAATCCAGTCCATACCACCCCATCCTGTCTCTAGAAGATCAATTTTAATATTATCTACCCACCTATATCTTGGTCTTCCTAGAGGTCTCATTCCTCCTGGCTTTCCCACCAACATCCTATATACATTCCTCTTTACTCCCATTTTGCTACACTCCATGCATATCTCATTCTCCTTGACGTGATCATTCTAATTATACTTGGTGAAGAGTACAGTTATGAAGCTCCTCTTTATGCAGTTTTCTTCAACCTCCCATCACTCTGTCTGTCTTCAGTCCAAATATTCTCCTTAGCACCCTTTTCTCAAACACCCTCAGTCTGTGTTCTTACCTTAATGTCAGAAACAACATTTCATGCCCAGTACAGAACCATCATACAGAATATTCTGGACTGAAGGGTAGGAAGCGTTACCCAAATTCATTCTCCTCTTAATTTCCTCCTGAATTAAATTTTGATTTGTTAATGTTCCCAAATATTTGAACTGTGCCACATTTTCAAAGGATCTATTAGTCTTTATTTCACAATTTTGTGCTGCATTCTGGTAATGAGACAGCAACATATACTTAGTTTTCTCTGCATTTAGCCCTAGACCTACTTCTTTATTAGCATCAATTAAAGTTTCTGTGTTTAAACCGAAATTAACTGCTGTGGGGATTCACTGTGCTGACCACGCAACACCCTTTATCTGCAAAAGTTGGCACTAACTTCACAGACAAGAGGCGGTTGCTTGGATGTTATAGTTCGCATGCGGACTTAAACCATGGAGTTTGTTTTTGTTTTGTTTGTGTTTTACTTTATGGTATCTATGTTATCAGTAGCTTCACATCATCAGCATAGACCAGCAGCTGATGCATCCCATTTAATTTGAATCTCACCTGGTTTTCCTGTACCTTCTTAATGGCATATTCTATAAGAAAGTTGAAAAGTAGTGGCAGTAAAACAACTCCTTATTTTAAAACATTTTGGATAGGAAACTATCAGACAAATGTTTACCTATACAGACTTTAGTATAGGTTTCGTTTCATAGCACCCTACACGCGACAATATCAACATTTCCATGCATGACAGAACGACAGCAATCGGTGACATTATGGTTTTCACAAGTAAGGGTACCTTGTTTGGAACTGTATTGTTACACTTTTCATCTAAATGCATATAAAATTCACTGAAAGCCATAAGGATCATGTTAAACTTGGTTATTATGTACATACATATATAAAAACAAATATATATATATAGAGACAATTGTCATGATCAGTGACAATGAGCATCATCAAAGCAGTAGTTTCATTTAAATCATGAACTTTGTTAATAATGGACAGAGATTTATTCTATAACCTTGCAACATTGCACATAGCCACTGCTAGCCTGAAAAGACAAACATGTAAGGTTTAAGAGTTTCAATAATATATATTATTGAAACATTATATAGAATGATTGTTTAGTATTTTTGTACTATGAGAGTACAGCTTGAAAATAATGCATGAACCTGAAGCTGTGTTTTGGGAATTTCTGATGTGGTAACCTCAACAATATTTTGTGTGCAAATGCTAAAATTCAGAGTAAATAATCACAAGAGACTTCAAGTAATTCCATGTTCCATGTTACAAGCGCTCTGTAAGGCAGGCTTAAACTCACTGTGAACCCTTGAACATGGCTTTATGCTAAGTATGACAGAAAGCCTCTATGAGTCAGTAAAGTGATCATAATGTCTGACTTCTCATGGACAAATGGAGCTGCTAATGTTACATTCTAACACATTGTGAAGTTATGCATATATAAGCTCAGATTTACTGAAGATTAGAGAAGGCCTGCATTCACTTAAGAGCCTATATAATAAAGACTCTTAGTAGTTACAACAAAGTACAGTATTACTTACCCTGATCACAAAGAGAAGTCTTTGCCCTTGCAGCAACATTGGGTGATGGGGCATTGTCTCCCGACATCAGAAGATCAGCACCTCCTCCATTGAGCAAATATGGCGGTGGTGATCCTCTTCCCCCACCACAAACACTACCACTTCCCACCACAGTGGAAACCCTTGCCCCAATATTCAGAATGTCACTCGATACAGATATTTCACCTGCCCCTTGTCTCTGTAATCTAATTTTCTCCCTCCTCCCAAAGTCTGATGATGATGACTCACTGTGAGCTGTATAGAATCTCTCAGAGGGGTAGTTATTATTAATATTTCTTATTGCCATTGAATCGGCTGGATATGAAGCAATCTGCTGGAGATTTCCATGTCCACTGCTAGATGGCATCACCGGCACACTAGTCCGTCTCCGGTGTTCAGATCCAGATCCCAAGACCTGAAGGTTAGCTGATGAACTGTTCCCACCTGACGCACTCTTTACGCTGGAACGCCGTCTGAGGGCAGAGGGAGGTGGCTGGTACTGTTGCGGTGCATAGCTCATTTTAGTGTAAGCCTGAGGTGCAATAGATATTGAAGAAGTATGACGATGCTTTTGATGAAATTGCTTTGGAGGTGGAAGGATTGTGTCCTCCTCAAGAGGAGGATATGATGAGGGTGGTGGTGTATTGGTAACATCACCAAAACTAACAACCTTGGTGAGTGATGGTGGAGGTGTTGGCAACCGCGGTCTTTCTTCCACAAAATCGTGGCGATGAATTAAGGACTTCTCTTCCCCAACATGGCTGTTATCCTCATCCTCTGGACCCTCCGGGACAAAATGTACATTGCTTTCCCCACCTGCCATTGTCAATTTTGTAGCTGCTGCATTCTCTATGAGAGGCTCTGAGTCCTCTGGTGTCCCCTCTCGTCCTAGAAGTGATGTCCTCATCTAGGAAGAAATGCTTGAAATTATTAAGGTAATACAAATCAGAGTAACACAATAAGACATGGTCATTTATCTCAGTTATTATACATGCTGTTAGAGTGATTATCCTCTTTTGAAACTGGGCAATATAATACATGTAATAATGTGAATAACAGAAAATAAATGTACTAAAAATTCCAAAATTTCATTGTCTTGAATTTATTTTTATTAGAAATTGTGCTCTTTATATTTATAAACTCCTCTCTTTACAGCTAAGAATGAAGGTGCTGTGACAAGAGCTGTTGGAGGTACTTAAAGTAATATCCTGGCAACTGGTCAACTGATAAAAGTAATATGCTGATGATATAAAATTAATCATGTCCTCCAAAAGTGCAAATTGTACTCTTAAATATAAAATATTGTGACATGTTGCGCAACTGAGGACCCCTACCTCCCCAGCGGCACGTGGCGGTAACGTAGCACTCNCCCCCCGCCACTCTCCCAGCAGTGATGTCACGAGCTAGTGATGTGGCGGGCGACCCTAGCAACAGCGAACGGAATAAAAGCCGGCTGAGCAGCAAGTGAGAGTCAGTGTGTTATCAACGAGTTCTCAGTTCGCGAGTTACGACGAGCTACAGCTACAGACGCGTCTGCGAGAATCAGTGATAGTTCATGATAACCAATTACATTTGGAGTGTGTAATTCAGCGAGACTTGTATAGCTCCCGTGCTTTAATACGTGAAGACTCTGGAAGATAGTGTCAAGAGATTTTGTTGTAGGGTTTATAAACTGTGGAAACCCGTGGTAGGGGTCCTCAATTGTGCAACATGTCACAATATATTTTTAACTTAAAATGTCACTGCAAATTATTTAAACCACTTTGACGAAAATTATGAACAAATTTTATTGCAACTGGATTAATTTGGAAATTAGATAAAGACATGATGGCAACATGACCACACATCATAACAAAATCTCTGTTTTACCACAGATGGGAGGCGGTTAGCAGCACTACTCTCCTGGTTCTCAAGGGAGGACGACGACTTCTTACGGAGACAAGATGCTGCAGGAGTGCCTGTTAATCCTCCTGGCTGTGGAGGCTCCCTTATTCCCATCACTGCAACCGTTGGGGGCTTTGTCGAAAATGATGTCTTTTTCCTGCAATTTGGAACATTAAAGTAGTATAATACTGGAAAAGACTCCAGTTAGTGACAGATCAGTCATATCATGGCCTGATTAATAGGAAAAAGAGAAGCACATATGCACACACACACAAAGGTTATGTTAATTTTTTAAATTTTTAGGTAAACACTAGATACTGTGATAGAATTATCGACATCAAAATTTGATTCAGTTTAATTAATACCGACATATTAAGTGGGGTCTTATGTCATCAACGAATATCATGCCTCAGATTGTGGAGATGGAAAATAGCTTCAAAATAACACAGGATAGCTGCAAATGTACTGAATAAGCAGTCACAGAGAGCCAATGCACAGTGGCCATCCATTTTGGTGTTTGGCAGATGAATAACAACCTCTGACTGTAAAAAGCTATCATATTGCAAAATGTTACATAGCAACTTGGACCTGGATGGATTGTTTGATATGGACTGTGCCATTCATTCATTCATTTCTTTATTTTCCATATATCCATACAGCTAACAAACCTAGGATGTGGAAATGGTTCCTTTGAAAATAAATATGTCAAGATACATATATAAAATTACATGAGTCGCATAATCAAAATCACTTACATTAATTGATTAACATAAATAATAATATAAAGTAAAAAAAATTGATAAGATTTTAATTACTAAACATAATTTAAAAACAATTTACTATAAAACTTGAATTAATACAGTTTTATTTAAATTACCTGTATTAACTGAATTAAATACATTACAAATTTACACACTTATGACCAGTTATGTTGATAATATTAATTCATATCAGAAAAAGAATGATATAAAAACTTCTTCAATGCAGACTTAAAACTTCTCCCATCAGCAGCCAACATTTTTATTGTTTGAGGAAGACAATTAAAAACTTTAACACCTGATATGTACACACTTTTATTGTATTTTGTTAGGTTAACTGCAGGTAAATATAAATTATTGAGGGCGCTAATTTTATATTTGTGAATCTCACTGTTAAAATTAAATAAATGTTTATTATTAATTGTGTATAAAAGTAATGACTATATGTACTGAGAACAGAACGTCATTATTTCCAAATCCTTAAGAAAGGAGGACATGGGATTTGGACCTTACAATGTAAGGAGTCTTCATAGGGTATGTCCAGTGAAACTGATAGCAATAGGGGTAGCAATAGAATGAGCAAAATTTAATTTACATTTAGTGGGAGTTCAGAAAGACACATGGGAAAAGGGTGGTGCTGAACCAGTAAAATGATGTACCAATGAGTCAGAAATGGCATTTCCTAATGCATAACTGAGTCAGATATGCAGCTGAGGGTAGAATTTGTTAATGATAGGATCTGGTACATACTACTAAGAGGTCATTGGGTGATACTAGTATTCAGAATCTGGGTACCACAACTAAAAGTAAAAGTGATGATACAAACATCAGATTTTGTTAGGAACTGCAGTGAATATTTGATTCATTTCCAGTGTACTATATGACATCTTTTAAAATTTTCAATATAAAAGCACTGGTGAGATAAGATTTTCAAACTGATATTTCAGAAAGGGAGTTCACATGATTTTAATAATGACTGCCATCTCAAAATACAACATTCCTACATTTCAACATTTATAAACACAACTGGAGGCCTCCAGATGGGAAGATATACTATCAGACTGATCACATTTTAGTAGATAAAAATACAGAATTCCATTATAATTAACATCAGATCTTTTAGAAGGGTTGACTGTGAGAAAACTAACTGATGGCTGTAAAAATCATGGGCAGATTTTTAGTAAGATACCAAGAAAAACCAATTTTAATACAAAAAGATATAATCCCAAGAAAATGAACAATGTGGAAATTAATGAATAGTCTCAAATTAGAATCTTGAAGATGCTTCCAGTTTTGAAAAATTCAAATGACAGTGGGGACATCAGTTAAGTCTTTAGACAAGTACCGGAATTGCAGCCAGATATAGGAACTTATTACCAGTTAAAGCAGAGTAATCAGTTTTCTTTTATTACTAGATAAAAGGATGAAGATTGCAGAATATAAACCCAATGAATAGACTATCTGATTAATGTAAGTTGTGAAACTAGTATCAATTTCAGAAACAAAGAAGAGAATGTCAAAATTGTAAGTTTGAAACAAAAAGTAAGAACAAAAATATCTATGCTTGTATCGAGGTTTAAGCAATTTGAGGATGACTGTTAACCTAGAAGGATGATGTTCTGGAGTGGATACTCATACACAAGGTTGCAGAGGACCATAATCTTAACATGCACTGCCATGAGATCATCAAATCTCCCATAAGGATTTGATATTTTTTATTTGTCATATAATGCAATAAAATGAGTTAGCTCCACAGTCATATGTGTTCATAAAACTTCAAAAGAGCGTATGAATTGGCAGGAAATTATTGTACCATAGTCTCAACAAATTTCACATACCATATCCACCAAATTTATTAGCTTAACAAAACGTGTTTAAATGAAACATACAGTAAAGCTGTTATAGGTGAGTACTTGTCTAAGGCATATTGTAAAGGCCACACCATAGCTCAAGCGGTTAGTTGCTGGCTTNCTTCTGTTGTTGCTTATTTTGTTAATATGCAAGTCCTCTCAATGCACATGTGTCTGAAACATGTGTAAATTTTCTATTAGAATTCATGTATGCAAAGTCTTTTATGTATAGTGTAATTACTTATTTGTATATACACAACAGGAGAAAACACAACCCACCAACCCAAATAATTTAACACCTGATGATGACCACATTGGTTGAAACATGTAATGATGGACTTTTAAAGTGAATATCTTTTAATAAATTTTATAGAACGTTACTGTTGTGCTTGAGTAATGAGTAATTGACACCAAAAGAAATTTATGTATGAAGTTTATTTAAAATTTCTGACACACACAATATATAAGAGACATATTTATTTAATTAATTGATTTATTCTTTGTTGGGTGCAAATATTAATGCCTTTTCTTGGACAGAGAAGAAAATAAGGGCAAACAATAAATGTGAGTAAAAAGGGCTTAAATTCAACAAGCAAAATTGAGACTAGAAATGTTCTTTTCTTTAATCTTACAACTAATTAATTTATACTTGTAATCTAAGTGCATGCAGAAAACAACAGCTTGAATGTGTTTTGCTGTAACCTCAGAATTCTGCTACATGCCAGTTTGAAAATGTTGGTGTGGATCAGGCCTGAAGGGCACCTTTTGTCCCGGTCTGATTTAAGGCCTAGACACACTCACGCGTATGCATACAAACATATTGTGACATATTACGCAACGGAGGACACCCACCTCCCCAGCGGTACGTGGCGGTAACGTAGTGCTCGTGAGTCCCCGCCCCACCACTGCCCTCCGCGGTGACGTAACGCGCAACGCGCGGTGACGTGGCACCGCTTCCTACTGTGACGTGGCACGTAACAGGCACACAGCCCCTATATAAGAGAGCTGCGCTGCCTGCGGAGTTGAGTTGTAACGTGGCCATCGCCAAAGACAGTTCCGAGTTAGTTCCGAGCAAGCCTACGAGTCAGAGCGTGTTATCAACAGTTCTGAAGGCAGCTACCTACGAGTTAGTTCCGAGAGAGTTCCTAGTTAGCTAGCAACCAGTCAGTTGCGTTCTGGCATTTGGAGTGTAGTATTTGTGATACTGCAGATAGCAGTAATTGTGAATCTGTAATTTGGGTGATTGTAAGTGCGAATGTGAAATAAAATTTGCTATACCAAGCACGGCGTGAAGTTATTTGTCGCGTTATACACTCAACATGTGACAATATATATTTTGTTTTTCCAGAATTCAGGGTTCCTTTTGTTATATGGAAATATATTAAAAAGAGGTTTAGCCAGGATTTTTTTTTTGTTTGTAGAATGTAAAACGAGACAGGCTGATTATATTACAAATAACAAAAAACACTTGCAGTGTTTCCAAAATAACATTGATTCTAGGTAAGAATAAAATTCATCATTCAATCTTAAATAGAATGAACATAAATAAATTTCTTCATTGTGAAAAAAGTCATTACAAGAATGTAAACATTGAAACTGATAAAAGTTATCATTAATCTACAATTAAAGGAAGCTCATAATGAGGAATGACTGGTAGCTCACCTCTGCTGGGAGGGCGTCTCAACGGTGAGATTCACATATTCACCATCCTGTGATGAGTTAAGGGAACATAGCGAGCTGATCTCTGTTGTCTCTGTACCAGAAGGAGCTGAGAATTAGCAACAACAAAATCGGGACTCAGTCCCATGCTAGCAGTCCACAGAAGCACGAGGTTGAAGTTAACAGCAGGAAATTCCATTTACATGAATCCAACAAGACACTCTTTTGCTCTCTGAACAGTTGTTTGTATACTAAATTGACTCCCCTATTGACTGAACACAAATACAAATACATAATGTACATGAGAGGAAGCTCAGAGCTCTACAGGAATTTTAACAGCTGACTGTGCTATCATGGAGATAAACTGGCACAAGTGACCAATGTCACAAAAACACAAAACCTACCTACACAAACAACAACTGCACACAAATTCATACCCGTGACTAACTTTGGTGGTGAAGCCCAAGCAACACAGGAGAGAATTGAGGAACTATAGTGGGAACTTCTTTAACATCCACTTTAGAGCCTGGACTTGGCCCCTAGTAACTTCCATCTCTTTGGTCCAAAAAGAAAAACACCTTGATATCAAATATTTCAGTGATGAGGAAGAGGTTAAAATTGAGGTGAGGAAGTGGCTAAGACAGGAGTCAAAAGGCTTCTATGTTGTGGGTTTTGACATTGCACTGGTAAAGCGATGGGACAAGTGTATCAATGTTGGTGGAGGATATGTCGAAAAATAAATGTTCTTTTCCAGATGAGAATATCACATATTTTACATTTTATAACCATTTGTGACCTGTTTACTGACTCTCCCTCATATATGGGCTCTCCACCAAGAGTGAGTGGGCATGAGAGAGAGTTTTTTTTTTTACTAGGCTCTATATTGATACAATAAAGACCTGAGCTTCCAGTAAGAAATTATTCTCGATTCTAAACACAACTTATCAAATTCAGTGTCCTGTTGGATTTTAGTAAACGGATTATGAGAAAGAAAACTAAAGAATTTCAAAAAAGAAAATAAGAGAGAAAGTTTAAGTGACACCATTACTTCAAAAATTATTTGAGACAGTCAATGTTATGTTCCTTCTTGCATGTGAGCAGCCCTGCACTTAGTCCTTTTCCACTGTCCTACACTAAAGATTTGGAAGTGGAGTATCTATTTACATATGTATGACCTGTGCCAATTTTAAACTCTTTTAAGTTAATAGATATACACTCAGGACAAAATAGTTTACAAATATTCTCAAATACTCTCATGTTATTGATGAAATATTATACTAACTGCTTAGAGAGGGGTTACTGTGGCTGTGGTTTAAGCTAGGAGAATTTTATGCCATCTAACTATAACACAGAAGAACAAAAGGGTTATAGAATGGTGCCTTTAATGAAGACAATTCAGAGAAACGTAAATATGTTTAAAGGAGCTGATATATTTATTAATATTAAAACAATACAAATCATCCCAAAATATATGAAAGTCTGATAGACCTCAAATTTTAGGTACCCCTCAAGCACATAGCTGTAGGTTTATCTAAAATATAACAGCACCCGGCAAGAATGCAAAACTTTACCTTCCCTCTTGAGCAAGGCTTCACTTCGTGGCACTGTTAGTCGATCCATGCCAATGTCTGATTCCAGAATATCCCTTGCCTCATCACCTAGCCTTTGCACAAGCATCTACAAGGAGAAATAACGTACATACACCCAGATTGAAAGAAATTGTTTTGAAACAATATGGGAATATTGGCACTTCAGCAATAACTCGAAACAAAACAGACTCTTCACAGTTGATCATGCTGCAGATATTCCAAACACTGTATGGACCTAAAAAGTTACTTTTGGATGATGGAATGATACTTTGGAAAGGTCAACAGAAAAACAGGGTACATACGTAAATCAGACAAAATTGTGAAACATTATTTACGAGTACTACTCAGGATGCTGTGACTCTAGGAGCAGATATATTTACATTATCAAATTTGATGTTGCATAAGGAAGAAAGGTGGAATACACCTTTCACTCAATTCATGACAATTTAGAACTGAGGTGTCATATGGATCTGTGAGAAGATAGCATAAGCTCCTTTTGGACAAGGAACTAGGGTTTATGGTACTAAGCATCTGAAGAGAGAGGAGTCCACATTTTATGTTACAAAAAGCATTCCTCTGCGGGAATAAGGTAAAGGTAAATCTGTCACTGTAACAGGTCATGAAAGCCAATATGGCTGCAAGATGTTGAGGCTCCCACATTTTCTAGATAATTGGTTCACAGATGGCAGTGAGGCTGTCAGCTTTACACGCTGGCCGCCCTTTAACCCCGGGAAGATTCCTGGTACTTATTTCTGTTAGTGGCTGAGTTGACCCCAGTGCCATAGAGCGGCTGGAAGGATGAGGTAAACTGAAGAAAACCAATGACCTCCTTGGGAATCAAACTTGCAACCTTTCAGCTTGTATCATATTGCCTCAACCAACTACACTACTTTATGTCCCCTTCTGCAGGTCTATAAAATTAAAAGAGAAATGAGGGTGATCGATTATTCATAATTCAAAAGTTATTAGTACTAGTAAGAAGGACAGGGAAATGGGTGAAGTTGTCAAAGATTCTTAGTGCATTGCTGAATATAGAAAACACATGAGAGGGGTTGAGACGTCTCACCAGTACCTGAGTTATTGCAGCATGCTGAGGAAAAATATTGTAGCATTGCTAGACAAAAACCCTGAAACAAACAATGAGACAACAGCTGTTGCTATGCAAGAGCGTGGTAAACATGCCTCTACAATAACAGAGCTACTGTTGGAAATGGTGTTTTCTACTTGGTCCATGCAAAGGGGTTATAAGGATGACAACTGGGGAGACCCAGTCAGTTGATTGTTGAGTCCTGCAAGGGAGGTTGAGAAGAAGTGGCACCGTTCAGTTGTGGAGTGTTAACCGATGAATAATGGTGTGACCGCAGAAGCTGAAGAATCTCCATTTTTAAGATTCGTTACCAGGAAACAAATAGTGAAAGCAGGCTGGAAAAGGTCTTAGTGGGTGCTGTGATGATTTGTGAATTGTGGAGATTAGCAATAGCACTGTAGTTACTTGTAGTTCTGAGTCATGTGTATAAGTGGTCAATAAATGCATTCACCAATCCAACTCCATCGAAAGCCCCAACCCTAAATCATGACAATATCAAACGCTTGAAGAAGATAGTACTGTATCTAACCAACTGTGCTCCTTGTAATGCTGTCTTCTTTTACAAAAATTTGAATTCTCCCAAACAGGATCAGATGCAAGTAATTCCTGCACGAAGCAGCAAGATAATGGACTGCAGAAATGAGAAAGAAAGCAGTACTTCTGCAGAAGGCCTGCTCTTACAAGATGATTCAAACAGATCCACTTGGAATGTTATCAGGAGACTTCAGGATACACAAATGTGATGAAACAGATGCTGAGGGGAAGGGAGAAAGAAATATTGAACAGGAGATGTGAACTGAATATTGCAAAGAAGAGAAAAGGTCAAACAAAGTAAATTTGTAAGTTCTGTTTGATGTCTCTTCACAAAGGTGCCTGTTTTTTTTAAATATCACATTAAGAAAAATATACGATATCATGTGACAGTATTCTGCAGCACTGAGGGCACCATGTACATATGATTAAATTATGTAATTAAAGAATAAGGCATAATGAGGAGCTTCATAACTTGTACACTTCTCCAAGTATAATTAGAATGATCAAGTCAAGGAGGATGAGGTGGGCAGGTCATGTAGCACGAATGGGGGAGATGAGGAATGCGTATAGGATATTGGTGGGAAAGCCAGAAGGAAAGAGACCACAGGGGAGACCAAGGAGTAGGTGGGTGGACAATATTAGAATGGATCTTAGAGAGATAGGATGGGATGGTATGGATTGGATAGATCTGGCTCAGGATAGAGCCCAGTGGAGGGCTCTTGTGAACATGGTAATGAACCTTCGGGTTCCATAAAATTCTGGGAAGTTCTTGAGTAGCTGTAGAATTGGCGGCTCCTCCAGAAGGGTTCAGCTCCCTAAGTAAGTAAGTAAGTAAGTAAGTAAGTAAATTAAAGAATAAGGAAATGTTCATGCTGAGTAATTATTTCAAGTAGACTACCTTTCGGGGCATGTGGTAGCATAGTTGGTTGAAGCACTATGCTACAAGCAGGAAGGTTGTGGGTTCAAGTCCTGATGAGGTCATTGGAGTTTTTTCAATTTACCTAATCCTTCCAGCCTCTCTATGGCACTGGGGTTGACTCAACCTCTAACAGAAATGAATACCAGGGCTATTCTTGGAATATTCTTGGGGGTAAAGGGCAGCCGGCGCGTAGGGCTGACAACCCTGCCGCCATCTATGAGCCAATTATCTAGAGAATGTGGCAACCTCAATATCTCACAACCCTATGGGTCTCCATGGCCTGTTACAAGGATAACTTTACTTTATTTTTTGAGTACCTTTAGACATCTGGGAACTGGAGCGTTTAAGAATAAAATATTTCTAGCAGATAGTTTGTTAATTTTGGCAGTGTATATGATGTATGAAAGGTTTTAACATTTCACCGCTAATTTACTGGGTACATGCCTATTTTATTATGCTGTAGTTACAGAGTATAGGATGAAATACAGTTAGAAAACTCTGTAGGGCTGTGGGAAGAAGCAGTCATAGCATATTAGGGTTCTATCAGAATTTTCTTGGAAAGAATGAGGAAGGCTAAGAAAACTTCAATCAGGATATCCACTCAGCATGATCTGTAGTTGATACCTTTTGAGTGTGGGAGAGGCATATCACCACAGTATCCACTTGCTATGTTGATACATATTTACATTACACACAGTATCATTACAAAAACTGATAAAGTAAAGTAGACTTTTACTTCATGTTTGTACTTTTCTAACCTTAAGTTCGGTTTCTGTTTCTAGCAGCTGTTTTCGATACTTCTGGTTAAAAACCTTTGCATCCTTCAACTTTTCTTCCAATTCAGATGCAAGAGAGTCTCGTCTATTCTTTGACATGGGACGAAGTGTTGCACGAATACGCTTGTCAATGGCTCCCTGTGGATTCCTCCTCAGTTCTATGAGCTGAAACAATTGTCAGTTTGATTCACAACTTCCCTGCTACTAGAAATGCATATTTCTATATTAATAATTGTTAAAGAAAAAAATTAAAAGCGTGCATATTGCATACACTGATGTATATGTATATGCAAATTTTCCCCTTATCTTACAACATAATGTTATGGAAACAGTTGCAGCAGAGATTCTAAAATAATGGAAAATCTTGACACATTATTTCTAGTTTCTTTATCTGTACTGAGTTCAAACCCAGATTATTTGAAATTTTCTCAAGGATACACCTGGTTTTATAAACAGGATTCTGACCTGCACTGAATTTCTGTTTCTTTTACATTGCATAAATCCAGCGCTCTTATTCAAGAAACATGTTTTCTGGCACTGCCATGCTCAGATATGGCCTCGAGGTTGGAATGCACAGTACAACACTAAATGAGCGACTTTAAGGCTTTAACAAGTTTGCTAGCATGCATATCATCATGTACTGATTAAAGAAATGTCACTAAATTGATTAAAATTAAAAACCTATAGAAAGTGTGAATTTGTATCAACACAGGCTATAATTAAGTATAAAACTATTGAAAGAGAAAATAACTTCTAATAAACAGAAATTTAATAGGGCTGATTTATTTAAAAAGGGGAAATCTGGATATTTGGAGCACCAACTATTTCACACATCAGAAGGTACAGAGAAAAACGTAACTGGTTTTTACACTGAACACAGTAAAATAACTACTATACATAATCATGAATTAATGTCTGATATGTAAATATAGTTTCCAGCTGCCTCCGAATTATGCACTTTTGCATGATAAACCACATAGATTTTACACTCCTGATCTGCCACCTTCTGTGATTCAGTACTTCTTTTACAAACATTTTCCTTTCTTATTACATATCAATCTATAAAATAATAAATCTATAAAATAAAGTAATGAACTGCAGCTGTGTTATCAAAAGAGAGTTTTGAAAAAAAGATGACTGTGCATCAGGATATGATATTATGTATCCTGGCCACAAGCAAGAGTGGCTCAACTTACAATGCCATATTTCCATTTTGATAAGACATATGTGTCTTGTAGTTTCATATTTGACATATATCACAAAATTGTTATGGTCGTGGTTATTAGACTTTAATCTTTAAATGGCCAGATGGTACCAAATATTACAGATTGTCATAGTAAATATTAAAGATATTCTCTGTTGCTGTACCTTGACCACCTAAGTGGTCCCTATACATGAAAATTTTTAAACAGAATTTTGTTGACACTTCTTGTTTTGCCCATTCATGTTACATATGATACACATTCCATCCTTCCTGCAAGTAACATTAGGTGAAGGATACAAAATATGAATTTTTAAGAAGTCTTCTGGTTCCTTGTAACTTGGTCTTTGTTCTACATTTTGTCTGCACATAACCCAAATGTATGTCATTTGCTCAGAGAAAGGGACTGGATTTTGCAACCACACAAATCAACATTTAAAATTATAGTTTTATATACAGTATTTTACTCTAGGCTGTCTGCCCTGACACATGTATTAGGTAACACTCTATTAACTTCAGGAATAATTCAGTACTAAATTAAAGGAATGAAGGGAGAAAGCAATTGCAGTTTATTTTAAGGCAGTATCTCAGTATATCCAAAAGCTGAAGAAAATCAATAAATCATCAGCCTGGGTAGGCACACCTCAGCCATGATTCGAAAGCTGGATCCCCTGAATATGATTTGGACGTGTTACTACTATTCTATATAGCTTGATCTTTAGATCTTTAGCAGCAAATGAGAGAATAAATATTCTGAACTGTCAGATCTTCAACTGATCTAATTTAACATACCTTTGGCACAAATACAAGACAAAGAGTGCCAGTTGTGCAGAATATGATGAACACAGAGATGATTATAAATGATGCATCTTGTTTGTCTGATAACACAAAGCTAATTGCAGCCCCCATAATGCACATGATCACGACATTGTACACACTCATCCCAACATACTTGGAGTCATTGAGAGCTGGAATGCTGACATGGCGTGTCTCCCATGCCAGGAAAGCACCAAAAATCTGGAAATGTACATGAAGTATTATTGGCAATTACTGCTAATATAATCTTGCTTAATAAAATTTTTCTTGACTGCCTGAGAATTTAGAACAAGCTCCCAGTTATTCTGTTTCCACACATGTGGAATTCTCATGCAAACATTAAACACTTAAAAAAATACCATATTTATAAAGATACATAAAAAGCCATGCTGCAATGTATGTATGTTCACCTGCCACATGGTAGCTGTCCCAGCTGCCACTAGCAGCACTGCCCATCATTATCCCTGATGCAAGTGCCATTAGAGTTGGAAAGGTATGTGATTACAGTAGCTAACTAATTTTATGTAGCTCAGCCATCCTTGAGAAGCTGCCAGTTGTGCAGCTATTCAAGAACTTCCAAAAATTTTGTGGAACCAGAAGGCTCATTACTATGTTCAAAAGAACTATCCACTGGTACCTATACTGTGCCAGATCAAGCCAGTCCATAACACCCTATCCTATCTCTCAAAGATCCACCTTAATATTATCCATACATCTATGTCTTAGAATTCCTAGTGGCCTTTTTACTTCCAGCTTTCCCACCGATATCCTATTTACATTCCTTTTCACTCCTTCTTCATGCTAAATGCCCTGCCTATATCATCCTCCTTGTCTTGATCATTCTAATTATACTTGGTGAAGAGTATAAGTTATGAAGTTCCTCAATATGCAGTTTTATCCAACCTCCACCACTTCATCTCTCTTTGGTTCAAATATTGTTCTCAATACCCTGTTCTCAAACACCCTCAGTCTATGTTCCTACCTTATTGTCAGAAACCACATTTCACACCCATACAGAACAACAGGCAAAATTATGACCTTGTATATTCTAATTCTTACATTTTTAGACAGCAGACAAAAAGGCACAATGTTCTGGGCTGAATGGTACCAAGCATTAACCCAATTCAATTTCCTCTTAATTTCCTCCCAAATCAAATTTTGATTTGTTACTGTCGTTCCAAAATATTTGAACTGTATCACATTTTCAGATGATCTGTTAGCTGTCTTTATGACATGACTTTGCCCTGCATTTTGGTGAAGAGACAGCAACATATACTTAGTTTTCTTTTTGTTTACTTATAGACTAACCTCCTTACTAACATTAATTAAAGTTTGTGTGTTTCTCTTTATGGTATCTATATTACTCGTATCACTGAGTAGATTAACATTGAGGTTTTCACGGAGCTGACTATGAAGAATTCTGTCTTCTGGGATGTGGCGCTGTGTAGATATTGTACAAACTGACGTTTCGGAGGAAAGTACCGCCTCCATCTTCAGGTTAGAAAAAGAAAGAAAAACTCCAAAAGTGAGGAACCAGCGTGAGCAGGTGGCTGCAATATCTACATGGCACCACATCCCACAAGACAGCATTCTTCAAAATGAGGAAGATTTGATTTTTCATTTCACACAGGCCTGTGTATCAATCTATTTGTAGCAATATTAACAATAGTCTGTAAGTTTTAAATACGACCACCTTTCAATTTTATTGCTCCCATGACATGGGTACTACAGGGAGGTTTTCTGAGAGCCTCTCAACAATACTTAGGCCTGCTGGTCAAGAGGGACACATGCTACTCAGGTCATCTCTTATTATAAGCAGGCAGACTCATGGAATAGTTAACAGGCTGACAGGCTAACAAATCACAAACAAAACACATCCTTATCATAGAAGATTCCAGAAACGGTTCCTGTTGTTACACAGCCATTACTTGTACACACACACACACACACACTTAGTGTTCACATTCAAGCCTCGAAGCCACTTCTCAGAAAAGACCAAATCTGAAAATCCATTTCTCCTTTGCAAAGCATCCAAACGATTTTCAAGAAGGACGCTGAAGTCTAACATTGATATCTTGTGATTTTACTTGAGTGAGCACTCAGCATTTAGATTTGGTTTTTGTCCAAAAATTATTCTGCCTCTATCAATTTGTTTGCAGTTATATGAGCAGTTTTCTTTTTGGCACTGTAATGCCCAGAAAGGTATCTCAGAATCTTTTTTTATATTTTCACTTGGGTATCATGAGTTAACATTTATTTCAATGTGTAACTCATATGTCGCAGTTTGGCACAGGAAGTAACACAGCTGATCAAATGTTTAACACAGTGTCATTTTCACCTGAACAGCTGAAGGATTTTTGGGAGGCTCTCAGGCTATTACTCTGTATAAAATGATGTTCTAAATTAACAAAAGTATAATTATTTGTCAATGACTACCTAAACAAAATATGTAATTTAATAAATGTATTTAACCTGTAGCAACACAATTTACATTCTCTTTATCCTTTCAGACTAGATTAAGAGACATTCCCAAATGCTGAGCACAGAAGAACAAATTTAATTTTACTATGATCCACAGTTTTACGTTCAGCAATATGTTAATATGTAGGGCATGAAGAATATTATAAAAATTTATACAAACCATAAGTAGTCCCTTGTAAGCATATATAGAACCAACAAAAATAGTCATTCTTTCACTCTGACAGTACTCATTCTCTGGGATGATGAGGATATCATCACTGGAAGGATGTGGCTATAAAATAACAAGAAAATAATTAGATTCTGCAATCATTAAGAATAACTGTCTCCTTACTCTGAGTAAAGCTAACTGCTCACTTATAGGTAAAACACCAATTTAGGACTGAAGCTGTGATATCATTCTGGCTACCATACATCAGTGGTAAATGATAATTTGGAATATGGAACTGAGAAATTCAGAAGACAGTCTGCTCCAGTGTCACTATGTTGAATACAAATCTCCTGGAACTGAAGCCAGGCATGCATAGTAAGAATCTAACATGCAATTGCTCGAGTTTTTATGACATACTGTTTTGCATTACTCAGTGAAAATTTTGTAAATCAGAGTAAGATATGAACCTGCAACCATCTGATGAGCACACAACTTTCTAGTAATTCAGTTAATGAGAAATTGAAGATTCATATTTTTTGTCCAGAATATAATATTTTAATCCTACCCCGCTGAAGATCAATCACATATGCCACCAATTCGTCTTTCACTTTTCATACAAAAAGAATTTGCAATTAGATATGCTGTAATCTCTTCTTACTTTACCACTTCATTAAATATTGTGTTTGGCATAAATGTACAAGACATCTATAACAGACAGATGTCACTAAAAGTTTTAGTCTGTTGTGTATCTATGTGCAACGTTTTATATGAAATTAGAATTAAAATTCAGGAAAGCTATCAAAAATCTAAACCTTTTCTTTGGAACATTTTTGAAGTGATGCATATATAATGAAACACAAAGGAAAATACTCTGCAGGAAGCAAATGCATGACTGGGTATAAATTTCCACACTGTTATGCCACATGAAGTGAAGTATCAACATTTATTTTTGGCTTCTAACAACAATGATAATATAAAAATGTATGGCTATATTCTGGAATTAGTACTTTTATATTTTAGTCTTGTTTATAGGAGAAGAACTTACACAGATAACGGCGATCTGGACTCATTTCTAGTTTTGAAATTTTAAAATGTCAGTTTGCAAAATTATTAATTTATTTAATAATATTTCAATTGCAAAGACAGACGTTTGTATTATATGAGAAACTGAGAAGCAACATTTATTAACTGCAAAGCAAATATCAAATAGTTCCTGCATCTAAGCATCACGTAGTGAAAATATATAGGATGTGTGATGGAGAGTTTCATTCATTCTTCAGTTTGACATTATTACACAGCTTAATGTCTTAAAACTGTTCAACTTACATATGGCTCCATCTGTTTTGTTTCCCGATAGAATGGATCAGTAACTTGCCATGTAGTCATTATGGCTAGGTCAATAACCAGTAATACTCCAACCACCATGAACAGCTGGTAGTCTTTAATGACCTGGAGGAATAAAAGGATTTGAACCATTTAAAGAGATAGCTGAATTTTAATACAAGTACTTTATGCTCTATTGCCAATAACATTCAATACCAAGATGCATATGTGGTTTTACATTCTGGATCACAGAGTGTTGATGTTTCACTCTTCTATGAAAATGGTGATGGCCAGAAGCAGAGGTTTCCAAAGTGGCCATGCAGCTTCCACCATTCTGAGCTAACCATCCAGCCATGTGGTTCTCCAAAGCCAAGGTACAATTTACCTTGGCCGGTATCAGCAGCAAGTAGATCAAGTTCTAACACATGATCTCACAGTTGGACTACTGGTGCACCACAGAGGTAGAGGACACTATCACTTCTGATCAGTACCCCTTCACTACGCCTCTCAGCCAGGTGGCAGCACTCAGCGCTGAGTGAACTGCCCTCAGCTTCAGGGACCCTTGCCTCAGCTCCAGGGATCCCTGCCTATTTCCAGGAACCACTGTCCGGGCAGCATATATCCCTACTGAGATGATGCTGCATCCACCCTCTGCTGGTACCATCGCAGTTCATGGTGGCCTACGTCACACACCCCCTTATTGGCCTGGGCTTCCTCTCTCATTTTGGCCTCCTGGTGGACTACCAAAACATCTGCCTATTGGACTGGGTCACTTCATTATCTGTACTGGCCCAAGCTGGGGGCTTGCTGATCCACAGCAACAAGACCATCAGTGGCGGCACACGTAGCCTCCTCACAAAATTCCCGGAACTCGCTCACCCAGCCAGAGTCCAGCGTGAGGTGTGCCACAACACTGTCCATCACATCTGGATTATACCAGATGTGGGCCTCCGATATGCTAGTATCAGTCACAGCTACGATATATCGAGAGAACACTGCAACTGCAAGACTACTAGTTCACGCACTGGCACTGACCCCGCCAGTGATCGCCAGCACTCATCAGGTGAGCCAGTCGGCCTCCCCGCTCTTATTACTGGCTAGCCAGCTAGCCCACTACTGCAAGAGCTTCTTCACTCAGCCTCTCACTGGCTCACAATCATCGAGCTGCTGCTAGGAAGAACGCAGTCACTAGCTCAGACTAGACCGCTATGAAGGAAGTTTTCACTGGTTTTCATGAGATACACTCTGCTCTCCTGATCGTCTGTAATATTCATTCTAATAGCAATAAGTATATGTTATAGTTTTACGTGGTTGTCTCTCAGCACAACCAGGTTCAACATCTCACAGATTTAATTAAATTATAACCCAACAAATTAAACCAATACTGATACATTTTAATTACATCCAGGAACTATACAGTCCAAACCGTGGCCAGATTTTCCAAACAGGAATTTATCACCAGTTTCTAGAAACCTTCCAAGATAACTGTGGGAGAGTTCCTTGAAATGGGCCACAACTGTTCCACCACATGAACATCCTGTCATCCTCATTTTACATATTTTATAGATAAGTTTTGCAGCTGATGTAATGATGCTGTATAGCCCATGAATACTTTAATTATGCAATTCAGGGTAACTTCCTTACTTTACCATAAACTGAGAATGAGGTTCACAAATGTAGAGAAATATATCTGTGATGAATCACAAGACAACTTTAAACAATCCACAAAATATAGTTATTAATAGTGGTCAAAATACTGATTATGCAAAAGTAGCCCCAGCAGCTGATGTTCCTATAACCCCACTACTTCTGCTATTAACATTCTGATGCAAATGAGGATAGAGTGTATGTAACTTATGAGTAAAATATTAATTAAAAATACAGGTGAATTTTTATCTGATGTACTGCACATTCCGACTTGCTAGATTTTTCATGTTTTTGGGGTTCTCAAGTTTTGTAATATCAACACATTAATTTAATATGGTTTATGGAAAGGTCAGATGCTCATAATATTATCCAAGAAGAACGTCTGTCACATTTCTACAGAAGTAGTGTGTGTGTGTGTGTGTGTGTGCGTATGTGCGTGCGTGCGTGCGTGTGTGTATTCATGGAAATATTTTGGAAGTATTATGGGAAGTATTTTCAGAGCTAAGTTCAGTGAAATGGCATACAGAATGCCATTTCCTTTGTACTCTACTATTCTCATCATATTAGGACAAATGTGACAGTATACAATTTTATGAGAAATTGATTAATATTACACTGCTGTAGCTGCTGTACAGAGTATACTCCAAGAAGCTGACAGTTGTTGATTTGTCTAGATATTAAATACTCTCATATAATCCAAAGATTCATCACAGTCATATCAAATGCCCACATATGAACTCCTCTACACGATTTCAATCCAGTTTTTATCTTCAAAACATACTTCTCAAGACCAATGTCAATATTATGAATCCATCTATATTTTAACTTTCCAAGTGTCCTCTTCTATTAGTGTTCCCAACTAATTTTTACACATGCATTTCTTGCATTCTATGAGTTCTACAAGTTGTCCTGTCACAGCCCCTTTAATTTATCCATCCTAGCAGTACCAAGTGAAGAATAAATTTTCCAAGAGTCTAATTAAGAAATTGTCTCCTTCTTTCCATATGTTCATCTTACTTAATTCCTTATTATTTTCTTTTCAAATATTTCATTCTTTGCTCTACCCCTGTAGTGGGATAAAATTTCATATCTCCTCAAACCAGTAGCATTCCAGGGGTCATCTTCAATTTTAGATTTCAAGAGTATAATTATTAATATTTGTGTAAACTTGTCTGAACTATAAATTCCTCTGAAGATTGACTGACCTTTTTGTTGAGCTTGACATCTGTGAAGATAGAATGAACACGCCATGTCTTGGAAAACATTGAACCAAATGCTAAGGAGAAACCAGCCATGAGCAACCAAGCACGTGCTGTGCATATATAGGGGAATGCCTCCACACTGGTGAGAGTTGAATCCAGGCCTAGGAAGATGACACTGCTGTATGTCAGCATGCACCCAATGATGATTAGATTGTTCAGGTATGGACTTGACATCTTGATGTATCTGCATCATATAACAAAACTATTAATGACAAATTCTATATTGTGGCATGTATATCTGTTGCTAGGCAACAACTGTGAAATAAACTACTATGCAACAGTTGTTGCTAAGTAACGGCTCTGCAAATGAGCATGTTTCATGCCAACAATTGCACTGCAACAGAGGAACGGTGTTTTCTATGTGGTCTGTGCTGAGATGTTAAGAGCAGGACCAGTTAGCTATTGCAGTTAGTCAGTCAGTCAGTTTGAGGACTCCTGCTGTTCAATCATTGCAAGTTGTTGCCGTTAGAGGCTGGTACTTGAGACTGGGGACAGTTCAGGAACCCAGAGGATGGGGAACATCCACTGTTGAAGTCACTACCAAGCAACGGCAGTGAATACATGACTGCACAAGTGTATGTGTGTGTGTGTGTGTGTGTGTGCGCGCGCGCGTGCGTGCACGCATGTAACAGTGTATTATAAAATGTAGTCATTTGCTGTATCTAAGAGTCCAATAAATCTGGTCTGTGGTTACTACAATGGCAATAATATAAGATCATTTTTCAGTACTTTTGGGCTCATTCTTTTCAACCAAAGAACAGACTGTCATGACATCTTACATGAAAGAAAAATCCCGTGAAATTGTTCTGATACCCTGATTTCAACCTGAACTGAGAAATCAGCTTCTGATTCTGATCTTACTGATATATGGGATAACTGATAAACTACTTTAGCATGAACAACCTTCACATTCACATCTGCATTCAAACTATACCTGGTCTCCATATATTCTCCTTAATTTGAACATGTCATCTCAAATACAGAGTGATGCACGAAATGATCCAGCATTTGAGCTATTAATAAAATCTCTATTTCAATTACAATACTAGATACTAACTGCCCCCGATACAGTTACTTTTAAACCATGATCATATCCTGCAAAGGTACAAGTTCTTGGAGATAAGTGGTTGAATTAGATTAGTACAGAGTGTTTTTAACAAAATTGACATGTTCACACTCTGTGCTTCACCGCTACCAGCACACAGCCGGCTGCGAAGCGCATGTGAATTTTGCCTGTGACTCAGCATGACAATAATATTTGGAATGTATGGAAGGTCTTATCTTAGTTCACAGATCACAAGAGGTGTCGAAAACGTTGTCCCTCTACACCTAAATAACTTTCACAATTAATTGTTTCCTTAAAAACCACACATATAACAATCCTTCTTGCACGTACAGCTCACCAGACACCAACTTTCACTGGATGGCTTCAGCAGTTGTGTTGCCATTCTTGCACTATACTTCAACACTCCAGTCTCTTGAGATAGACTTTTCAGTGATTTTCTAGTGTATGTTCAAGTTTGGCCCCTATGTCATCTAACTTCTCCTCAGAAAACACTCGAAGCTTATGTTTATTTCCTTGTCTACTAAGAGCCTCATTGTTCTAAGAGTATTCGCCAAATTATGGATTGTTAGCCTACTGTGAACTCTTTCATAACGAAATTTACGTAGAAATTTTCACCAACACTTTCCAGCAGATCCATATTTCAGGTAGGTGTCATACAGAAATACAGGTTGTTCTAAAATATAGTGAACCATTTTGTGCTACACTGCTGACCAACTATTAACTGGGAACAAATGGCTCATGGCGCTGATAACTACTGCCTGCTGCTGACAAATCGTAAATAAACTCCCATGAATGCATGCGCGCCGTGTAACATAATACTGTGTAGATGTCTACAAGTTAATTCTTTTCCTTCATCCCAAATGTTATCAGATGTCAGGCATGCTGAGTCATCGGCAAAATTCACGTGTGCTTCGCGGCCAGCAATGGACCGGTCACAGTGAAACGCAGGGTCATGAACTCATCAATGACATTAAAAATGTTCCTGCATTATGTTATGTACTATTGGAGTCATTGTGGATAGAGTATTGGAGTTTTCAGATTGATGTCTCTTAATAAGTTGTAAGAGTCCAACACTTTCGTCTGGTAACTTTAGTTCTGTAGATAATTATGTCTCATAACAACTATATCCATGACAATCTGTGTAGTGGTGATTGTCTGGATCCTTACAGTTCATGCTGACTCATGTTATAGTGAGAAATATTATGGGCTGACAGGAATAACTTAAAGTTGATTGTACACCGTATGTAATGAAATTGGAAAAGTTAGATTATTTTATAAATAAATAATATAGGCTAATAAATGTTTAATTTTCAAACTGATAATGCTAGATGCCATCCAGAAATGAATTTAATCCTTCAGAATTTTGTATACAAAAGATTTAAAAGGATGAGTCTATTGGATCTAAAGAGAGAAAAATGTATATGAGAAAAAGTTTTGATGAGCAATCAGAAGATGCACAGGTGCTGATGTACAAAATATTATATACAGAGCACAGGGAAGATTGTGTGACCGGCAGCTTAAGTTATCCTACAAAAGAAAAGTTTCTCTTCCAACGAATCTACATAAGAAGTGAGATGAATGTCTCTATTCTTGAAACTTTTTAAGAACTGAGATAGGTAATGAAATAACGTAGTTCCTTTCAAATTTTTGTAATTTTCTCTCTAAATGAGAGTTCAGTAGTAGTATCTACTATTTTTTAAACTGTAGTAGTCTATTATTCTGTAATTTTGAGTGTTACATTGGTTGGTACAATATCAGAGCTTGAATACAAAATGTAGCTACATTACTGTTTAATATGAAGCCTGCCACATGTCTGCATAGTCACTATGTAGAATAGAAATGGCGAATCTCTTCACTGCTGGGTGTGTAAGTTCAATTAAAAGTTACGTACCAATGAGAAGTGTGCATTCTGCCCCTATCACTCAAATACTGGAGAGCTTAATGATACGTACATATATATACTTCTCCACGTTTGTTAGGCAGCTCTGCAATTCGTAGTTTGTACACGGCTTTGACAGTGACACAAACTGCACTCATTTCATTTGAGATATGGGTTTTTGTATTTTACTCTATGTATTTCGTCGTTTGAAGTATTTTATGTGACACAATGTTACCTTTTGTTATAGCTATCATTCTCTGGTATTTGTGGTGTATAAATATATAAAGAAACAGCAAAAGTGTATCTAACAAGAAAATAATTACAGCATGGCGATCTGCTGGATTATCAACTGGATTCAGATGTTAATATAAGAAATAATCAATGTCATCTGATAATTCAGTTGGTGACAGACTTGGCACTCATGCAGTTGATTCAACCATCTCTGACCTCAAAGCTCAATGAAATGAAACAGAAATCTAAAAGTAACTTATACAACTGATGAGTGCTTTTAAATATGACATTTAAAGTCCTTTGCTTCTTGATGTAAGCTATCATTTCATTGATGAAACTGCAGTTTTGACTTTGATGAGAGAATTTAAAATAGCATAAGAGAGATGGTATAAGAAAGGAGGAGATACAGGAGCCAGTTTCATAGTCTTACGAACTTAACTGAGAGAAGGTCTGTAGGGTGTGTATAGATTAATCAAGGCCTTAGTTACACTATGTCATCATCCATCTTTCCCACAGTGCGTCTGGAATTGCTTCCCCTCTACTTCTTGCCATACTTCTCCTTATGCACAGCCCTGAGGCCAGGTCAATAAACATGATTGTAATTTGGATGAAATGGTATTCAATTAAAACAATAATACCTTTCATAAGAATTCAGTGATATGATTTACGAATCACAAATCGAACACTGGAAATACATTCCAGTTTAATTTGAAATCATTCATATCCAACATCATATCCATATATCAGAATTGTTTCCTTCTGTAGACAAAGTTCTGCCTTTATGTGTAAGCATGACTGTAATTCTTCAATTATTCAGTGAGACTGATTATCAGAACATTTATATCATGTTACAGCTCTAATTGGCTGATAAATTTTGTTGTGTTCAGAATCTGTCAACACCTATTTCACTTTGATGACTGAAATGTTTCCTTCAACATATTCAGATTAATGGAATAAAGTTTTGTTCTCTATAAAAATAAGCAAAATTAACCACAAAAAAACATATCTAGAATAAAACTGCAAAAACTCACAGAAATATTTTAATAACTTCATCGATGCACATTCTATCTACACATTTCTTTCTGACTTCATGTTGGTTAATTATCAGGGACTATACAAAATATCGGTTCTAAGTAAACATTTTAGTAATTAGTGAAGTAAAATGAACAGTAATACAGCTGAAGTCAGCACCTTTGAATTGTTGTTCAGCATAAAAGAGGACATCATTATGTGAATATTATATAGTGCACAAATTAGTGAGAGCATTATAATTAATTGTAGTTACGACTTATATATTTTAAATAGATCTAATTATCAATCCCAAACACATGTCTAGTCACTAACATGTGACAACTGGTGTCAGAAATGGCATAAACTGGTTTGATTGAATTGTTGCATTGGAGATCACAGCAGATATTTAAAACAATAAAACTACAAGAAAGCAACAAATAATAGGATGCCTGCTGGCTGTTCAAGAAGAAATGAAAGCTATGAACGAGGTATGGTTAGGAAATATGGAGGCCAAGTTAGAGTCCAGTCAAAAAAGATAAGAGGCTTTAGCAGAGCACTCTAAATTGATATGTTCACATAACAAAAATAAAAAACAACAACAACAACAGCGACAACAACAACAACAACAACAACAACAACAACAACAATAATAATAATAATAATAATAATAATAATAATAATAATAACTCGTTATACTCGAAATATATGTAATAAGAAAGTAGGCAGAGCTACTTCTGTTCAGAATTTCCTGTTCTTCAAATCTGGTTTACAATAAAAATCAACCGGAAGCCTACATCACCCTCTTAGTTACACACATGCTGGTGGAGGGTATGATGTGTCAGATGTTATCCATCTTGTGGCACCAGATTCCATTTCTGGGAAAATTTTGCAATAAATATTCAATTTCTTGCTACAGTATTGGATACGACTTGGAATTCGTCTGATCATTTCTCCACAAGTTAGGTTTATGTATATTCGGATTTCATATATTTCTTTGATTTATTGTTTTCCTGTCTCTGTATTTCTCTGGTTTAAAAACAAGAATAAGGTTGGGGAGTCTCTTATTAGCCAATCTGTTACAGCATGTTGATAACTTTTTTTTCATCCTTCTACTTTTACATTTACAGAATAGACATGTACTTTCACACAGTTAATTTCAAATTTCTGGATTTGATAGGAATAAGAAAAAGCAGGTTATGCAGAGAAAGAGCGATAAAGGACATATGAGAAATGCTCTGTACACTTGTGTCTTATAAAGCATGAATGAACACAGCCATCAATGAAAGCTACAAACACCAGAATATGTACACAGATACACATGGACACTCATACAAACTAAATGAGAAAGACAGAGTAGAAAAGAACAGAATTCTATTCACCTTGTGAGAGATAATATACACTTGCTTCTTCATTTTAAACTGCTAATATTTGCAGTGTGTTATTTACTCAAGTACAAAGCTAAAATCAAAGGCAAAGTTTACAAGCAAACAGCAGAATGAGTTTTTAATGAAACTAGCTCCAGGTAGGATTGAGTGGTGGTCTTTTATGAAATAGTGGTTAGGTATTCAGATTAATAGCATGGATTTTCAGCAGCTCTCAACTGTCTGTCACCTTGCAACTTTCTATACCCCAGAGATGACTGGGTATAAAAAAGACCACAAATTCTGGCAATGAAGAGATGGGAAACCATGTATTGTGACAGGTATCATTAAAAAGCAATGGATTAATATTATACTAATTAGAGTGGGCTATTCACCATGGGATTTACAGTTCTTAATGAGTTAGTAAAATATTTTGTTCCATTTGATAAATGGAAGGTGCTAAGTCCATCTTCTGAGCAATCCAGTTAAAAATAAATGCATTGTGATGTGCATTTTCAACAAGTGCCAGGATTAGAGTTTAATTAGGTTTATTATTTGGGATTTTCAACTTGTCCAGCTGCATTTCTCATGTACTCTTAATATGTAAAATTAAGACTCTTTTATCTTAAATTTTAATGTATTATGCTAGAGAGAAATTGTATTATGATGTAAACATACATTGTCTTATTTTATAAGCCTTCTTGACAATTGCTTATGAGTATTAGCAAGATAAATTGACACAATTCTGTATCTAAGGCTTTTGCCTACTATAGACGTAATGGAATAAGGAAGAAATAATAATAATAAGACTATCATTTACATCAGGAACTAATTAAAAACTAGGAGTGATATGAAGGAAAATTGCTGCCGATATGCATATTTGATTTTATATGGGTGTTTCCAAGTGATTAAAGGAACAGAACTAATAACTACATGTAAACTGGCCACATATTTTTTTATCTCATTACAAAATTGGAGTTCCAGATTTTATTAATGATAATTTGATAGGGTACTGACAAGGAGTTAAGAAAGAACCTAACACCTAGTTTAGAATCTAAGATGTGTGCCATTTTTTCTCTCTTTTCTATATTAACTTCGAATTTTTGTAACTATTTTAGTCAGAAAACTACCCTTCACAAGAAAATGGGACATTCTGATTGGTTATACTTTGTAAGTAGATTTTCCAGAGTTGTAAACATACCCTTCAGCACCCACATGATGAAACCTGGGAGTTTACAGTTTGAGTTTTGGAGCAAATGAATGTAAATGCTTTCATGAAAATTATGTTTATTTTAAAGTTGTCATGTATGAGGGGCAGTCAAATGAAAACGGGTCAGAAGCCAAAACATATTAAAGAACATTTCTTACCTCAAAAGTAATCTCCAAAACTGTTAATACATTTATCCCACTGGGAGATAAGACGGTCAATCCCATCCTTGAAAAAGCTTGTGGGCTGCCTACGGAACCACATCTTTACCCAGCCACACACGTCTTAGTCTGATGCAAACCAATGTCCACAAATGTCTCTTTTCAGGCCTCCAAAAATGTGAAAATCACATGGGGAGAGATCTGGGCTGTAGGGGGGATGTTGAAGCACTTCCCAACCAAATCTCTGTAGCGTATTCCCCACAGAGTTGGCAGCGTGGGGGGGGGGGCGCATTATCATGAAGAAGGATAATGCCGTTCGATAGCATTCCAGGGCGTTTTGACTTTATGGCACGTCTCAGTTTCTGTAAAGTGTCTTCATAGCGCTGTGCACTGATTGTGGCCCCATGCTCGAGAAATTCGACAAGCAGAGGGCCCTTGCAGTCGAAGAAGAATATCATCATCACTTTACCGGAACTTGTGTGTACAGCTTTGGATTTCTTTGGTGGGAGAGAATTCATGTGTTTCCACTGTTGGCTCTGCCATTTGCTCTCGGGTTCAAAAGGGTGGCACCAAGTTTCGTCCCCAGTTGCAATACGGGACAGAAAAGCCTACTCTTCCTCATGGTATCGTTGCAAGTGACCCAGAGATGCAGCCATTCTCTGAGTCTCCTGTCCCTCTGTGAGTTGATGTGGAACCCACCACATGCAGATTTTGCAGTATAGCAGGTGTTTTGTCACAATGGCGTGTATGGAACCATGACTTATTACCATCAAAACACCAATTTCTTCCACAGTGATCAGTTGGTTTGCCCGGATATGGCCATCCAACGCAGCAATAGCATCAGGAGTGATGACACGATGAGCCTGTCCTGGGCGAGCATCATCTTGCAGTGACACACGTCCCTCTCGGAATCTCTTATGCCATGTCAGCACATGCGAACGTGACATGCTGTGTTCACATTAAACAACAGACATGCGATAATGAATTTCTCGTCATCCTACTCCTTCAGCAGTCAAAAAGCGCACTACACTTCCCTGTTCTTCCTTACCCGCCTCCATTACTGATGTTGGACGACCACACGTAGTGCTAACCTTACTTCCAGCACAATAAAAAATGACAAGTGTGCAAGGGCACGTTGTCACCATGCTTTTCTGAGTACCCACTAGATGTTCGTACTGTAAGCAAATTCCAGTGTTACCATCTTGCGCGCCTTGTGAGTTATTCGTGGTGATCCGTTTTCATTTGACTGCCCTTATATTAGGACAATTTTATTGAGGTTGGAGTGGAATTAGAGAAAGCAGGACAGGATACATTATTTATTACTTTACTTACAGCATCAAAATATATGACAGTTATGTCAAAAAATTAACAAAGGAAGCGAGTCTGTTGCACTTCACCACCTTCAATCTCTTTTCATGGACGTTGATGAAGGATGCCACCTATGAGTCTCTTATGTAAAACATCACTCAAGCAATAATGCTTTTGATTGTATGAGCTACATAAGAATGGATGAGTGGACAGGAACTTCTTAGTGGTATTTGGATGGAATTTTGACTGCTGATGGTGTATCGCCCATGTTATCAAAAGATGAGAGCAAAATTAGAGAACATGTGAGGATGTACTCTGTCATTTAGAGCATATTTCTCATTCCAGATTTTGGTAGAACTGGAGTTTTAAATTTTTGAAGTTTTGAAGTAAATTTATGATTTCTATGTAGGACCACTTTGAGTTTTATTCATAGATTTATGTATGCTTTAGTACATCATAACTACTATAGTGGCACAGTTAATTAACAATGATGTTTCATACTGAAAAATAAATAGATTGTAATGTGGGAGAAGAAATTACAACCACTTCCAAAATCAAATTTTCCATTTGCCTACTTGTTAGCAAACAACAAGCATACAGCTCTCCCTCATAACAAGGTGGACCAAATTTCACAGTATCAGAAAATTAGCATTGGGTATTGTCTTACCGTAGCCTATTGCTTTTTTGCCTACCATTAGATGCTTGTTCTGAGCATTATTATTATTATTTACTGAATGGGCTGTTTTAGCTATTTTGCTCAGGCCACAACCCACATCTGTCTGTGGGTGTCTGGGTGTTTGATCTTAGAGAATGGTGTGTAACTTTTCTTTATTATATGATTTTGTCATACATCGATACACTTTTAAGAACAACAGATCTCTGGTTAGTGTAAAAACATCAGAGCAACAGATGAAACTGGAATATAATAAGTTACATATTGAGCAGGTTATATTTATGAAATAACCTATCAACTTGCAAAACTGGTGAATTAAATGACAATTTCTTTCAGTAGCACCAGTTGTAAGTTACTATTTAAGTGATGGTGGAAATGAGTATAATATATATTTTGATTTTCATGTTTATTCAAGATGCACTGAAATCCAGGTAATTCTAATTATTTTGATTTAATTTTTTAATTCCAGTAGTTGTTAACAGCAATTATGTTTGTCCATTGGCTGTGAAATTTCTTAAAAATATTAATTTTACAGTGTTCCACATATAATTCAGAACATGTTTTTCTGTATGCTGGAACCCATCAACCTACACAAAAGCACAACAGATCATTGAATATCATGGCGCAAGGACCGGATTATTATGACCCACCCCCATTCATTCAACCTATACAATGTAAAAGTTAGGAATGAGTCTCATAATTCACCTGTATCTCAAATACTATAAGAATTCCAACTCTGTTATTTATTAATTATGGGCTCTGCATGCTCACAATCCAGTCATAACTGCATGAAATCCAGTACTGAAAATATACAAAATATAGATTTCAAGAAGCTCTTTTAAATAAATATTTTTCATGAAACTGACAACAGTTGATAGAAGAGAGACTACTGTTGGCCTATCCACCTACCAACAGAATTAGCACTACTTACAACCAGCGTTTGTAGTGCTCTACTGCCACATTCTTTTACCATAATCTCATGCAGCATCATTACAATTTCACTGTAGAGGGGGATAAATATCTGCATACTCACCGCTGATTGCGATATGTGATGTTAATGGCTAGGAATGAGATGGCCATGACTATACCCACAGAGGCTGTGGCAGCAAGCACTGAATATATTGTGATATTCACATGTGAGTGCTCAAATATCTGAAGTGTGCGATCCTTGGGAGGAGAGCGCCCATTCCATTTAATGACTTGACCTCTTGTTAGATCCAGCTGTTCTGTTACACCATTGAATTCCCCAATCTTCACCTCTGAACCATCTGAAATAATATAAAAACGTGAAAATTAATTTTATTTTACTAAAAGTTGTGATATTTAGCTAAAGTCTCATACCACAAATAATGCAATAATCATAATCAAACTGCTGATGTTTACAAGCTGGGAGCTTACTTATTTACTTTTTCCATAGAAGTAAGGTTTATCATGGAACAGGCATCATCAGAGTTTGTAAAACTAATTCAAGATAATTTCTATGTAAGTTCAGTCTTCTGTCCTGAAGAAAAAAATATGATTTCATACATTTTCATATAGTGTCTGATTAAGTGAAGAAGCTTCAGTTACTGCAACAGCACATCTTCAAATGTTGGATGTATCAAGTTTGTATTTACATGTAACGGTATGTAAATGTAATAATGCTTGAAATGATGAAGGAATTTCGATGTTGGTTATTAGTAAATGTCCTATAAAAACTGAACATCAGAATGTAGTGTTGGTTTAAAGTGTATGTCAGCTGCTACTGTGGCCCTTCATAAATGGTTATTTACATAAATTTTTATGTTAGTAAATTCTTTCATATTTATTCTAGAAAGAAAGACTGCAGAATGGATATCTGTATGTCTATGTATGTCTATTGTGCAATTTGACAAGTACATTTTTCCTTACTTTTGCAATAGTACAGCATTTTAACATTCTGTATGCTGCATAATGTTTCCATCGCAGACAAATAATATCTTCCAAAATAAAAGAGGAAACAAGTTGGTTATACAAAACAGATATTATTTTTTATGTAATGGCAGCTGAAGAACAACTATAAGTGTACTTACACACGTGAAATTTTTCACTCTGATAAACTGTAAATATGTTCACAAATATGTATGAAGTTAATAGTTCCTTTGTATGAATAATAACAGTTCTGCAAATTTAGAAGAGTTCTTTCTCTCTCTTCACTAAACACTAAAAACAGAGATGTCCTATCTGTGCTGCCTCTTCTTTTCCTCTGTTGTATTTTTATACTATTTTTCATGTAGTTTATGGTTCTGTGGTAATAAAGCACACGAAAGTTAAGAAGAAAATGATAAAGTTTCATGTCATTCTGAAAAAATATGAATGTGCTGTCACTTTGTGGTGTTACATAATAAAGATATATGGCCAGTGAACACACAGAAGAGGATCAACTATAATGAGCTTCTTTGTAATTGGAGCTAACGGGGAAGGATGTGACAGAGAAACAGATTTTGTATACAGTATGTTATGTAACAGTTCCTTTATCTTTCCATATTAAACACATGCATTTAAGCAGTGTAACAATGTGTTTACGAAAAATGACTCTGAATTGAACTACAGAGAATGTCTGAGAAATAATCAGAGAAAACTGGAGGGTGAGTACTATGGCCCAAAACAATGGAAATAGTTTACATAAACATTTGAACGTCAATAGTTTGTTACCGATGTGTTTCTGGATTCATGTGTATATAAACTACTTGAATTGTCCTGGGTCCTATACTAAACCTCCAATTTTCTGTACTTATTTCCATGACATTCTCTATAGTTTCTTTGCTCCTTTCTACTAAAAGAGAAGGCCGTGAACATAGCGGTTTAAAATCTAAATTAATTAAAATTTGTGTCACATCCAGTGTTTGCTTTGGCTGTCCATGATTTCTAGAGTACATGAAGTAGCTCAGAATATTGAGCATGTTTGTTAGTTCCCATAAAATGTGCATTAACCAACAGCACTATAGTATTATTGTCTGGGTGTCATTTTAATGTTTGTTTATAATATTTCAAACATGTATTAAGCAAATTTTTTGTCAATATGGCATAACACATCCTCATTCTGTAGGCTGAGATTACAGAAAAAGCAAAGTGTGGTTAGAAATATTTCAATAACGAGTTGCAGAGAGCCAGCAAATACTGGTGTCATAGCTTGGACATTGAGCTAATAATTTCTCACAGTAGTTGGCATGTATGTTGGGAATTATCATAAGATAATTCAGACTTATGGGCTATTGTGTATATAGGGACGAAGGCTTGGGTTTCAAAATGCAGGGAAATTTGACCAGCTAAATAAATGTCAATTGCTCTAGAAAACCCCATATCATGGAGTTAGTTAATAATATTTTAACTGTATAAAATGAATATAGCATAACACATGAGATGACATGGAATTTTCACATATAAGTTACACACGAGGTGGAAAAACCAATTCCAATACATTTAACAATTACAGGCACATATATTATAACTACACTTACTCTGAAACTGTTTGAGAAGGATGCTGGCTTTCCTCTCATTGTCATAAAACCGCACTGGCCCCTGAAAAAAATATACTAATAACAGATAAGATGTGAATTATTTGATTCATGGAAATACACCCCGTTCATTCACTGATTCAGCAACAAAGTTTTCGATTTGGCACAAGAATTACTGAGGTTTCAAACACATGAAAAGATATTTGACTCATTAACTCTTTAAATAAATCACAAGAAATTGAATTCATGGTTTTATAATGACCAATGAATAACCCAGTGGTAAATATGACAGCTTTTGTATCTGAATTGGATTCCTGTTTCACCCAAAATTTGTGGTAGAATCTAACAATTAATATTTATTTCAATGCAAAGTATTTAAATAGATTTTCATCTCAAAACACATCCAGCAAGGCACAGAAAATTGTTTATAGAATTTTAGGTTCTAACAGCTGTGGTTATGAAGAGTTCTGTTTTAAGGGATATAAAGCTGTGTAGTCCGTTGAAAATCAACCAAAGTTTCGGAGGAACATATGGCCTCCTTCATCATAGATGACGAGTAAACCAAGCAAGAAACCAGCATGAAGCACGCAGCAAGAGCAGCCAGCTTCATGCTGAGTTCTTGCTTGGTTTACCCTCCAGCACTGAAGATGGAAGTGATATATTCCTCCAAAACGTCAGTTGTATTTCATAGGACTACACAATGTTATATCATTATACTCCAGAAGACAGAGCTTTTAGAAGACTGCATTGTCAGTAAGACATAATTGAATTTGTTGAACATCTTCAAATATAAGTGAAGTCAACTGAAAGATCAGATAACTCTGCAATAAAAGTGGTCAGTGACCTGTTGTCTGGTTCAAAGCAAGTATCTGGTATTGTTCTGTCAATTGTTGCTACAGCTTACTTACTTACTTACTCACTCACTCACTCATGGAGCTGAGCCCTTCTCGAGAAGCCAAGAGTTTCACAGTCACTCAAGAACTTCCCAACATTTTGTGGAACCCGAAGATTCATTACTGGCTTTATGAAAGCCCTCCATTGATCCCTATCCTGAGCCAGATCAATCCAGACCATCCATACTATTTGTCTGAGATTCATTTTAATATTGTCCTCAGACTTATGTCTAGGTCTTCCTAGTGGTCTCTTTTCATCTGGCTTTCCCACCAATATCCTAAATGCCCTAAATGCTAAATGCCCTGCCCACCTCATCCTCCTTGACTTGATCATTCTACTTGGAGAAGAGCACAAGTTATGAAGCTTCTCATTACGCACATTTCTCCAACCTCCTGTCACTTCATCTCTCTTCGGTCAAAATATTCTCCTCAACACCCTGTTCTCAAACATCCTCATTGTATGTTCCTCCCTTAATGTCAGAGACCAAGTTTCACACCCATACAGAACCACAGAAAAAATTAAAGTTTTATATATTCTAACTTGTATGTTTTTGGACAGCAGACAAGAAGTCAAAACTGTTGCTACAGAACAGATATTATATACAGGATTATAACCTCCTCAACTGACGAAGTGTCTGGCATTAATTCTAGGAGGAAAAGCTTTCCTGAATGGAGGTTTCCTCAGCATAACATACTCTCTTCTGCCAACTGCAGAAACTGTAGGCTTACTCCTCATATAAAACTGATGCTTCACTGTTCCCAGTCATCCAAATACTTCTACTGTGATTCTAAGATTAGTTGTGGCTTGTGATAAGAACCAAGTCAATCTGTGGCTCGTCTTCCAAAATAAAATCATTACCTATGTTCTGAATGGTGATTACATTTAGTTAATTGAAACAGTTTGGTAATTAGCACTATGCATTAATCAGAGAAATTGCATGCAAAGTCCAATACTTACTTAACACATTTTATAAAAAGGGAGATAACTGAGGGAGGTCTGAAACTTTATATATTACAATTGTGAATATCTTGAAAAGTATACACTAAACACTTTGACACATGAACTGTCTACCTTCTGGTTTTCCATGTCTCAGCAATTAGATTTGATATTACTTCGGTACTGAGCCCTCCAGTCAGACATCCTGGATCTGCCTGCATTAAACAGTGAATATAAAAGATGACCTTACTGTTACCATTCTCTTGGAAACATTTTCTGAGAGTGTTTTCGTGTTGGCACTCATTCACTCGCATCATTCACAACAAAATTATTTTCAGGTTGATGTGGACCTGAACGAATGAAAATTTATTTACTGTTTAAACCTCAATGAATACAATTTTGTTCTCTAATAAATGTCCATGTCATTAATTATGCAGGGAAGAGCTGCAGAATTTCAGCACACACAGCTTAAAGTATCATAATATTATATGAAAATACTTTCACTAAACACACATCAAAGCCGGGCCTCTGACAAATACAGGCTAAAGTCAAGTCTTGTGGAAGAACACATATGTCACACAAACAGTATGCATACTATTCCTTTCAGTATTTCTTAAAATTCCTGCTAATTGTATATCTTACCTTTACTAAGAAAGTAGTCTTCCTTTAGAGCATTTCTGTTACATGGATTTTTTTAGTTCAACCCTTTTTTCCCCGTGTAATATGTCCCGTTTTCATTCATTTCCTTGAAAGATACCGATTACAAAGATCGAAAATAATTGCAAATTATTATCAAATTGCTGGTGTTTTTAATTGCAGAAAACGCTAGAGGGTTAAACCCTAAAAAATCATAAGTTTAGTTTACAATTCTAGCGGCAGTTGTGTCAATTCAAGCTGGTAGGTAACGAGTACTTTTTGAGTTTATCCTTTAGATTCATGGAAGAGCGGAGTAAGTGTCAGCGACTTCGGGAATCGAATAGAATGATTTTCGCTTCAGGACTAAATGCCAGCTTGACACCAACCGCTTTGAGGAAAATGGAAGTAAGAAGTCAGCTTGGTTGCAGTAATACCTGAATTTTCGGTGGACATCATGGGTGCAATAAAAGCAAAATATTTTATTTGTTTCGCAAAGCGATAGCTTTTGTGAAGCAACTGATGGAAAAATGTACACAGTTTATGTCAAGTAAGCATCAGTAGGGCAGATGTTATTTATCCGCCCTATAAAGGCCACTAATAACTAAGATGCTACGTGTGTGACACGATATTTTTTTTATTGCTAGTGGGGTGGGACTAAGTCCCTTGTAGTGCGGCCACTTCTGGCCTATTGTATCAGCCCCGGGTGATTATGTTGATGGAGAATTTGGTGGAATTAAGATTGACAGGGGAAACCGAAGTACTCGGAGAAAACCTGTCCCAGCGCCACTCTGTCCACCACAATTCTCACTTGACCAGACCCGGGATGGAACCCGGGCCGCCGCGGTGGGAAGCCATCGACTAACCGCTTGAGCTATGGCGCGACCTAACGCGATATGTCACGTACAGTGCTTGAGGTGGAGGAAAACAGGACATGAGGTAGTGGTCAGTATCACAATCTGCTGCTCTGAACGCCGTCTCCTATCTATCAAAATGGTCTTTCCGTCAGGAGATGTCTAAGTAAATTTATGAATGTTACGACATGGGAAGATTTGTACTTCTGAAAATAAAATATTTGGATGTGGCAAAGTTTACTACTCTAAATTGGTTATCATTAATAATATCATGTAAACTCTCATACCAAATATTTTGGCTTTAAAATGTCTTTCTTACTTATTTTGACATTGAAATCGCCTAATAAAAATTTTCGTATTGTATTTCGGGAATTTTACAAAGGCTTAGGTGGGTGGACAATATTAAAATGGATCTTAGAGAGATAGGATGGGATGGTATGGATTGGATTGATCAGGCTCAGGATAGGGATCAATTGAGGACTCTTGTGAACACGGTAATAAACCTTCTTGTTCCATAAAATGCTGGGAAATTCTTGAGTAGCTTAGTTTTGGCTTCTCCTCAAGAAGGGCTCAGCTCCATTAGTGAGTAAGTATAATTTTATCGAATACATGTTCTAGTTCTTCGTAGAACCTGTCCTTCATATCATCATTTTCTTCCTCTGTTGGATTATAAATATTCAGAACAGTGATAGACCAGCTACATGATAGTACTATTACGTACATCCTGTCACTGACAAACTCTACCCTTTAAACTGCTGATATGATTCTCTTATGTACGAAAAATCCTATACATAATTCGTGATTCTCATTCCCCTTTCCATAGAAAAATGTACATTCACCTGCTGGTTCGGTGCCGCCTCTCTCCCATATGACCTCCTCTACTCCCACTAAATTTAACTTATATTTTGTTATTTCTTCCGCCACTACTCTACATTCCATGTACCAAATCTCATATCCATTTTTTTTAGCTTAGGTCGTTCGTTTAGGTCTTTTCACCCTTTGTGACATCTCGTAACGAGCTTATATTTTACGGTCAGGAATTGTTAGGTCCATGCCCAACTCCAAACTAGAGGCCCACCCCATCTCGGGTGTCCGTGACTGCTTATTCAATATATTCACAGCTACCCCTCCATATCTGGAGGCCTACTCCTCTATCCGGAACCGAAGAACGCCCTAAGCCGTGCTAACAGGGGACCCACCTAACATGAGACAAACGGAAAGAAAGTGACAAATTCTTTGAGAATGTCAACATTTTAAAATTACATTCGCGAACAAGAAAAAACTGACTATTCTTTTAGAATTTTAACATTTTAAAATTTCGTTGTTTTTTTCATACAAGGATTAATATTTTTATGTACATTATAAAGCTCAATTTTGACATCCAGTGAATCTGATTTTTAATATACAAAGCATAATGTTTGTTTGTGTATACAGTTACATAATGATTGATAAATTTTCGCGGAGAAGTGCTTTGGTTGGTTTTCTCTGAGATCCGATTTAATGGTTATGAAATAAACATCGTTATTTCTTGTCTCACGAAAAAGAAATCAATATTTAGTTCAGACCCTTTTCTGAAATGATGCGGATGTGTGAACATAAGGCCAAGTATAATCCAAATTCCTTCCCGGTATGAACAAATACCTTCTGTGCAGTTTACAATTACAGTGATGCTTACGTCACTTTGCTATAAGGGTTCTGTAGGCGATATCACTTGTATTCTGTTGGTCCTGTCCCAACCACTTCTTTA